CATTTTGTGAACTTGGGTCACATAGCTACTTGACCGTGGTTCTATGAACTCTTGTGACGAAAATGGGAGTATATTAATGCTTGTCTAATCATTGAGATGGAATGCTTGACCACGGATCTTGAATGTGATTAGAGGAAGGGGTTTTTACCATTGGCGTGGACTAACCTAAAGAATGAATATTCCATTGTCTAGGATAGTGTTTGATTCAACCTTTTGACATCATTTTTTATTGTTAATCCCTTCTTATGATAGTTAACCTCATGGTCCAATGTTTTTATCTTGTTTATCTTCTTATAATTCATTTTCTTGCATTACTTAGCATTTTAAAAAAAACCAAAAACCCAAAAACATTTGCTATAGCTTAGTTTTTTTTTCGCATCTCTAGTGTGCAATCTTTAGTCCTCGTGGGATCGATCTTTAAGTACTCCTTGGTGTTTCATGCACTTGTGGATTATTTGAGGCTTTAGAAATGTAAAGTTTCGATCGCCTATTGGATCTTTGGTATTTAGCAAAGGTAAAATAGCGCGTATCACTCGGTGATGCCGATCTCGGGTCTACTTCTCCGCCTCTGAGACCTCGCGATCCTACTACATCTGGATTTACTGCAAGGATCACACTCAACGAGCTTGCTATTGTCAAGCTCACAGCACTGTTTGTGGCGCGGGGCGTTGATGAGGAGAGTGCTTTTGGACCCTCGATTTCAGTTTATGTTTGTTAACCGTGATCCATGTCCTCATTTGGATCCAATGGGGCCAGATGAAATCAGGTTCCATATTTTCAGTAAGCTTGTTGATAAGTATTCCGAAGTATTAATGCCTTCCGAAAAACTAGAGCAGTTTGGTGCTTGTCCGGCCACCGTTCTCGAGTTTTTTTTCTTCCGTCTTGAGAGAATTATTGATATGTTTGCTTCCGTGGCTGGCTATTCTGCTATCATGCCACCACATGAACACCTTACAATTATGATGAGCCGGGGAGAACGTAAGCATCCTGGTTTTCTTGTGCTGCTTCCACTGGGACCTCCAGACTACTATCGTTCAAGGTTTCTGCCTCTGCGTCTGTGTAATCTCTTTGTAAATACATTGCCTCCAAGGATCACACTCAAGGAGCTTGCTATTATTAAGCTCACAGCACAGTTCGCGATGCGGTATGGGAGGCCTTTTATGCTGGATTTGATGAGCAGAGTGTATATGGAGCCTGAGTTTGAGTTTCTGAACACACACTGATAGCAGGACTTACTTTTATGCTGGTTTTATTCAACTGTATTGCAAATTACTAAAGCCTTCCGAAAAAGTCGAGAAAAGTGATGGTTGTAGGACGATCGCTCTCGAGTTATTTAAGCTGAGAAAGGGAGAGGACACTTCTATGATTGAGTTGCGTGCTTTTTTGAGTGGTGTTGACTATATTTCTCGCATGGATGATGATGGATATTCTGCTAGAATGCCTCCAATTCAACGCCTTTCAGTGATGATGAACCAGCTAACACAAATGCATCCCGATGTTCT